GTCTTTTTCAAACTTAAGTTTTGGAATGCCAATTACTAAGTCTTGTGAAACCAATTTGTTCAAAAGGTTCATGTTCATATGAGCTACCCTTCGGTGCCATAACCAAGTGTCTTCCTCTTTACTCATGAGGCACTTAGCGAAGCCGGAAGGAGATTTGTCTAAGTTAACCATATATATGTTATCGATTCTATCACCACGTAGAATGACCTTATTATCACTAAGGCGTTCTACCGTGCATGATTTTGAATCGAAGGTCACACGGTTTCCCTTGTCACATAATTGACTTATGCTCAAGAGATTGTGTTTAAGACCCTTAACAAGCAAGACATTATCTATAGAGGAGTTTTCAGATTTACCTACTGAACCAATGCCGATAATTTTTCCTTTGCTATTGTCTCCAAAAACTACGTTTCCTCCTTTAGCAGGTTTGATTTGGAGGAACTTAGATGCATCCCCGGTCATGTGTTTGGAGCATCCGCTATCAAGGTACCAAAGTACACTTGATGCCTTCAAACACACCTATAAAACACATCAATGAGTTTTAGGTACCCAATTTACGTTGGGTCCTTGGTTGTTAGGTGTGTGATTGTAGTGTGCTTGATTTTGTGACAGGTGCCTATGCCTAGTGTAACAAACGGGAGCAATATGGCATATCCTATTACAATAATGGCAAACTACATTGGGGTTGTACATGTGCCTAGGTTCATAATAGTTAGAAGGGTTAACCATTTTGTTCCTATTTTGTGAAAATGATGGTTTTTGGAAATTTTGAAACTGGCCTCTTCTAGGTGTTCTAGCATTATTTCTTCTTATTTGAGAAAATTCATTTTTATGCACAAAATCATTTTTCTTAGGTTGTCTACCATGACCGTTTTCATTCCTAGGTTTTAGTCTAGGTTGTCTAGTGTCCTTAGGTTGACTAGGTTTTCTATTATCTTGATTTTTAGGTTTCTTATGTTGAGCCTTAGATGATTGTCTAAGTGGTGGCTCAACATTATCTTTAGCTTTATTTTTATCAAAACCTATTCCTTCCTTAGAAAAATGCATAGTGTCAAGAAGTAAATTTAAGTCTTTATGAGGAGTATTAAATTTCTTGACCGTGCTCTCAAGTTTAGCGACTTGCTCTTTTAAAGCTTTGCAAGACCCTCATTCACTTGATGAGCTTTCTGGTTTGTCAGCGCTTCTTTTTCCTAAAAACTTGTTTTCTTGTTTAAGTGTTTCATTTTCTTTTTCTAATTTTTCAAAATCGTTTTCAAGTAAAGAAAGTCGTTTCTTCAAAGATTTATTTGTTTTAGAAGCGCTAACAAATTCCTCATAGAGTTCATGAAGTGCTTCTTGCATTTCTTCAAAAGTATAAGAGTCGGAAGAAATGTTACATACCTCTTGGACGTTGTTGCTTTGATCTTCGTGTGCCATGAGGCAGAGATTTGTAGCTTCGTGCTCCTCTTGGTCGGTTGATTCGTCGCCGGAATCGCCACCCCAAGAGATGTAGGCCCTTTGCTTCTTGAAGCCAGGCTTGTCCTTGCCGTGTTTGGCCTTTGGACACCTTGGCTTGATGTGGCCAATCTCGCCACAGCCGTAGCATTTGGGAGGACCGTCGTGCTTCCTTCCCTTCCGCTCAAATTCCTTCTTCATGAACTTGTGGAACTT